TTAGCTTAGTTGCCTGAATTTTTCTAAAAAAATATAAAATAAATACAAATCTAGGAACAAATAATTAATCCATCATCTTTATCCACTTCTTCCTTTTCGAGTCACGGGGGTCACTGGTGCCCATATCAGCCATCAGTGTGTGAGAGGCGGGGGACACCTGGACAGGTCTCCAGTCCATCACAGACAAATAATTCAAAATATATAAATACAAATGTAAACAGACTTCAGCCTACGATACATAGTACATCAACCTTTAACTCAAAATTAAATACAGACTTCAGTTATTTTAACCATATTGCTCTAACATTTGTTATATTTTCCAAACTTAATCTAATATGAAATATACAGACTTCACAGTCTTCACCATATTGATTCATATTTCAAATTCTTTAACAAAATTTCAAAACCTGTGCAAGTTTGCACAAAAACATCTTCTGAACTATAATTTATAAACCATAAACTGTATCATTTAGAACTGGCTCCAGGAGATGTGTCTCATCTGTCCTCTTCAACCTGTTATAAATACAAATTGCATACAATTTGTTGTATAACTTGTCTATAAGTTTTAGTATAATATGAGAAAAAACAGTTACCTTTGAGCTGCAGCTGCATCAGAGCTTCTCCCATTTGTTGTTTCATGGTGAAGTTGTGGTGCTGCTTTATCGCAAAAAAAAAAAATCTACATGAAAGAATAACGTTCGTTGAATCTATCGTATTAAAAATAAACCTGAACCCGTCACCTTCCACTGAGCTGTCTGCTTGTAAATCCTTTGTGATACAGCAGGAAATGGAGAGGGAACTCTTCACAGCCTTTGGAGAAGCCTGGAAGTTTGTTGCAGAGTTCACTGGTCGGCTGCTTCGCTTTCATCTTCCGTGAATTTTGTCTTATATCCAAAATACTGTACCGCAATTTTATTTTACACTTCTTGTAAACAACTGTGCTCATGTGAAGCTCTGTCTTCCCCCGGAACATTGTAGGATCTGAAATGATTTGTAAAGACGAAGCAGCGGGTTGAATTGCGCTGTCTCCCTCTTCCATGCTAGCAGGCTCCATTCAGATAAAGGGAGCTGGCTAACTAGCTTGCTGTACGGTGGCCTACACGGCTCAATTCTACAGCGGCCGAACAGGGAGTATGAGTGGAAAAAATATAAAACTTAAATGCATTTTAAAATCGATTTTTGGACCTTTAGAAATGATTCAGAATCGCCAGGACTAAGAATCTAGATTCATCGAAAAAACAATTTTTTCTGCACCTCTAATATAAATATATATATATATATATATATATATATATATATATATATATATATATACACATACACACATACAGTGAACCCCCGCTATAACGCGGTTCACCTTTCACAGTCTCGCTGCTTCACGGATTTGCATCTTGCATTGTGTTCTGCATTCTAAATGGCTAAACAGTCTCTCCAGTACAGTAGTTATTTGTAAAAAACATTTATACAGTACTTTTATTTGTTAAACAAATGCTTGGGCCTGTAAAAAGGTTTTGTTCTTTGGTTTGAATGTATAATGGAGTATTTCATTGTATAATAATTGTAAAAAAAATAAAGGTTACTACTTCACGGATTTCGCCTATCACGGGTTCTTTTTGGAACGTAACCCCTGTGAAAAACGAGGGTTCACTGTTTATAAAAATCAGGAAATTAAAAATGTATGATTTTTTAAATAATTTGTGTGTTACTGCTGCAAATAAGTATTTGAACACCTGTGAAAATCAATGTTAATATTTGTTACAGTAGCCTTTATTTGCAGTTACAGAGGTTTCCTGTAGTGTTCCAGCAGGTTTGCTCACACTGCAGCAGAGATTTTGTTCCATTCCTCCACACAGATCTTTTCTAGATCAGCCATGTTTCTGGGCTGTTGCTGAGAAACACAGAGTTTGAACTCCCTCCAAATATTTTCTATAGGGTTTAGGTCTGGAGACTGGCTAGGCCACTCCAGAACCTTGATAAGCTTCTTACGGAGCCACTCCTTGGTTCTCCTGGCTGTGTGCTTCAGGTTATTGTCATGTTGGAAGACCCAGCCACGACCCATCTTCAATGCTCTCACTGAGGGAAGGAGGTTGTTCCTCTGGGCCGATTTCCTTAATTTTGGGAAATCGGAAATCTTGCATGAGAAACCGATTTTACTCCGTTTTTTTGTTTGTTTGTTTGTTTTAACAACAATTGTCTGAACTTCATTTATATTTCAAAGCATTACCTCATGTCCAGTTAAAACAAGTTTGTATTGTTTCTAGGATATTGTTCAAGAGTATGTTTTTCAACAAAATAAGATTGGAAAATTGAAGGTACATTGTGACTTTATAACGCCTGACAGTGTCACTTATAAAATAAAATCGGTATCGGCCAAAATCGGAATCGGCAGGTCAGACTTTTTAGAAATCGGAGATCAGCCAGAAAACTGCAATCAGTGCACCCCTAGTTGTTCCCCAAAATCTCTCAATACATGGCCCTGGTCTTCCTCTCCTTAATATAGTGCAGTCGTCCTGTCTCGTGCAGAAAAGCACCCCCCAAACATGATGCTTCCACCCCCATGCTTCACTGTAGGGATGGTGTTTTTGGGATGGTACTCATCATTCTTGGTCCTCCAAAAACGGCGAGTGTAATTAAGACCAAAAAGTTCTATTTTGGTCTCATCTGACCACAGAACTTTCGCTTATGACTCTGCTGGATCATCCAAATGGTCATGGGCAAACTTAAGACGGGCCTGGATGTGTGCTGATTTAAGCAGGGGAACCTTACGGGCCATGCATGATTTCAAATTATGACGTCTTAAGGCTCCAGTATACTGCCGCGTACGTCCGTTCGTACGTGCGTACGCGTGTACTGTACGCAGAGGGTTCAGACATGATACTCCAGCGTACACCCCGAGCAGCTGCAGAGCAGCTTCACAGACAAAGGGCGTTTACCTTCGGGACAAATTGAGGTCGCCGATTGGTCATTTGCTGACACGCCTACTGGATTGATTGACAGGTCGGAAAAAATAAAAAAAGTGAGCGCTGGCAGCCTCCGCCGCAGCGGTGTTCTGTGTTTATATGTTGTTAATAAAAAGATCTAAAAAAAAAAAAAAAAACCGGAGAGCGCTGACTCTGCAGTCCACACATCAGACCAGCTCACCAGGAAATCTGCAGACCCTCCCGCAGCTACGCTGGACCTGAGTTTAATTCGCTTGTGACAAATTCCTCCATTTCTCACCATTTCAGTCATGGAGTCAACGGAGGAGGAAGAGATCACTGCCTCTTGGCAAAAAAACAAAAGAAAAGGCCAGATCAGAGATGAAGAAGGAGAATTTAATACATTGGTGTCACATACAAAACAGTCCGTCGCTGGACAGTTTATTGTGCGACACCGTGTACACGTATGCGGTCGTAAAAATTTGAGCTTTGCACGGACATGCCCTGGGGGTTACGCACGTACCTCTACGTACGTACATGCGTACCTCTGCGTATGGATGTACACGGCAGTATACTGGGGGCTTTAGTGTATACCCACAGTAACCTTGGAAACAGTGGTGCCAGCTCTCTTCAGGTCATTGAGCAGCTCCTCCCGTGTAGTTCTGGACTGATTCCTCACCTTTCTTAGGATCATTGATACGCCACGAGGTGAGATCTTGCATGGAGCCCCAGTCCGAGGGAGATTGAGTCATGTTTAGCTTCCATTTTCTAATAAATGCTCCAACAGTTCATCTTTTTTCACCAAGCTGCTTGGCAATTGCCCCGTAGCCCTTTCCAGCCTTGTGGAGGTCTACAATTTTGTCTCTGGTGTCTTTGGACAGCTCTTTGGTCTTAGCCATGTTAGCAGTTGGAGTCTTACTGATACAACTCAGCAGGTAAACGGTCCCACCCAGGAGCGCAATCACACACTGGACCTAGTTTTGACACGTGATGTGACAGTTAGCAGTTTGAAATCAGCGATAATGTGTTTTCAGATCACATGCCAGTCCTGTTTGAGTTCACCTCCCCCCATCTAACTCCTAAGCCATGCACTCTTGCACGTCGTAGCCGGGCCAATAACTGCTTCACTGCCGCGTGTTTCTCAGACGTTTATAACTCTGAATTGATAATTCCGCCCCCGGTGTTTCTCACTATCACTGAGGAGCTAACATCCCAGTTCAACTCTGTCTGCTTAAAAGCTCTGGATCATGTTGCTCCTGTCAAAACCAGAAAAATGAAACTCAGATTAGAACCTTGGCTGAGTGATGTCACCAAGGCCGTTAGACAAGAGTGCAGGAGGGTGGAACGCAAATGGAAGAGAGACAAGCTGCAGGTCTCTTTTCAAATACTAAGAGTTGGTATTCTTATCAGAAAGCAGTAAAAGCTGCTAAATCTAAATACTTTTCTGATATAATTATAGCCAACTCTCAAAACCCACGTGTCCTCTTCTCTACCCTAAACTCAGTTCTCCACCTCACTGAACCATCACCTCTGGAAGCTTCAACTGAGCTGTGCGAAAACGTTCTACATTTATTTTTAGAAAAAATTGGGAACACCCGGGCTCTCATTTCCCCTCCAGCTCATGATCTGTCCATTCCATCCCAGTGTGTTGCTGTATTTGACCATTTTGAGCCCATCTCTCGGTCTTCTCTAGAGCAGGTCATGTGCAGCATGACATAGACATCAAAGAGGGAACCATCCCTAGACGTACCGTTACTAATGGAAGAGCCTTGGAACCGTGTTGAGTCGAGTCGTGCTGTGTAATGGAAAAGGGGCATAAGTTACTTGGATTTGCTGGGCTTTTCTGCCAAAATGCCTTCTAGTATTTTATTTTCTAAAATATATTTCCAATTAGATAATAAAATATGTAACAGCTCATTTATTTGTTTATGTATTTGTTTATTTATTTGTCTTTTCACCTCAGCAGAAGTAATTTGTTGAATTCCAACTATCACCTGACGTATTTTTCTACTGGCTCCTTAATTTGTAGATATTTTCACTGTGCACATGTAATGAAAACCTGTTTTGATTTTTGTATTTCAGGAAGTTGCACGGTCAGGTGGGAGAACCGCACCATGTACTGCGTGGTCAGTGCGTTTGCTGTCGCCGTGGCACTGTGATGGCAAAGCCACATCGGGCGGGTTATTCCTCCAAATACCATCTGTTCTACAGCTTCGTTTGAAATGACATCAAGAAGCATCTAAGCAGATACCTTCATCATGGCTGTTTTTTGTTTTTCTCCAGGTGGAAACGATTGTGTGCTGTTTTTGTGCGGGTCAAACTTATTATTCAATGGTTAGAACCTAGTATTTAAAAAAAAAAATTTGCAAACATGGTACTCACAATTTTTGTCCTAAAAGTATTTCCATCAAATCAAACTTTGCTCATTTTTTACCATGTTTGCAGCAAGAATTTGAAGGATTTTGATATTTTGTGAAGTAATATCCTCACATGTGTATATGCAAATGATCTTATGACCTGTAAATTATTTTTCGTTGGCAGCCATATACTTGCAACAATACCTGACATTCCTGTCTGTCTAAGCTGTGCTTTATTTATAATTAGTAAAGATCTGAAGTCAGAACATCTGCATGATTCTTTATAAAGCATTCAACTCTTAAGAACAGTTTCCAGATAAAATAGACTGAAATGCTGCTCTGTTTTTTGGTGTTTTAGAGACATCTTATTGTGTTTCAGTTAGTATTCTATTTCTATAAAGTGTATTAACAATAATTAGTTAATGAGCACATCAGTGTGTACCTGGTGGTTTAGAGTTCATTTTTGATGTTTAAATTGTTTAAACGATGTGAAATTGTTTAAAAAATCTATTGATGTTTAATAAACATGTTCGTTGGTGATTAGTTTGCATTTGAGTGTTTATGGTTAAAAAAAACACGCAGTTTGTATGATTATCCACAAGAGGTCACCACAAGCACAATTTTGACATATAAATATAGATTTATTTAGATTTTTTAGTAGAATTTCATACTTTAAAGGCTTTACTTTGTTTAATAGTAATGATGCTTGTTTTTTTTTTTATCTATTTTTTGGCATCAAATGTTGCTCGTGTACAAACAGAAGCGTTCGTGTGATTTCAGAAGACTTTGAGCTCCTTAGCAGACACATTGCAAAAGGAGTTAGTGCAAAAACAACCATATTCTCTCCTCCGCGTAAGTAATTTCACATTGAAAGTCAAAAACGAGCAAATATATTTTAGGAACTTTCAGTTGGGTACAGTCATTTTGTTGTGCAGTCGGTAAATGTTCTAACAAGCAAACAGATGCAGCAGTCTTGAATGCAAATACGCCCAAAGCATTTCACGTCACTACGGTTTCTGCTGCTGCGCAAAATTAATTCAAAAGACACATCTTTTTGTTTGTAAACGTGCAAGATACTAAATGAAATTGCCAGTGCTTTACAGTAACGTGTTTGTGATCACGCAGGCTCTTAAACTTTTTTTGTTGTGAAGGTTAAACATCCCGTCACGCACGAGTACATCACAAAAGCAGCATGTGGTAAATCTAAAGCTCTTATCCAGGAGTTTAAAAAAAAAGAAACGAGTGCTTTCAGCCATAAAACTGGCAAGATTTCTTAAGAACTGTTTCAGCTGATGTGAGGCTCCACACATGCACTCCCCTCCATGCCTGAAAAAGACACTAAATACAATCACTTTACCACATGGCTCCTCGTGGTCAGAAATGCAGCATGTGTTGGAGTCCAGGGGTTTTCTTTGTAAAATAAAGGTGGACATGTTGGCTGATAAGAGCATCACCTCTGTGTGTTTGCAGTAACAACCAGCCCTAAATTAAAAAAAAAAAGCTGATAAATATGGGGTGCCATATGTAAAGTCACACAGTCAAAAATTCACAGCAATATTTTGGGTTTTTTAGCTTGTCATAAGAAAAAAAGTGTTTTTTTTTTTTTTCAAAGTCATATTTTCACCATGTTATTCATACATTTATAAATGTCATAATTCCAAACTAAATATTTAATTTACAAGCTAAATATTTATTTTACAAACTAAATGTTTATGTCCAAGCTAAATGTTTAATTTACAAACTAAATATTTAACCTTCAAGTTATATATTTAGTTAGTGAACTAAATATTAAGTTGTAAATTAAATGTTTAATTTCCAAGCTAACTATTTTCAAAACTAAATATTTAATTTCTAAGCTAAACATTTAATTCCTAAACTAAATGTTTAATTTGCTAACTAAATATTTAGCTCAGACCCAAATATTTATTTTCCAAGCTAAACATTTAATTTCCAAAATAAATATTAAAATTTCTTATTAAATATTTAGCTCGGACCTAAATATTTAACTAATATGCAAATTCCTTGCTGAAAAGCGGAAGTGGACTACCAAAATAAAAGCCAAACCTCTAAATATACCTCTTTCCAAACCGCCAAAAAAACCACCAGAATAAGAAGAGTTGTGCGTGCGCACTTTTCAGCAAGGAATTTGCATATTAGCTAAATATTTAGTTTTGAACTAAATATTTAACTTGCAAGTTAAATATTTAGGTCCGAGCTAAATATTTAGTTAGCAAATTAAACATTTATTCTGGAAATTAAATGTTTATTACAATAATAAACATTTAGTTTGGAAATTAAATGTTTAGTTTTGAAAATAAATATTTAGCTTGGAAATTAAATATTTAATTTAAACCTAAATATTTAGTTCACTAACTTGCAAGTTAAATATTTAGTTTGGAAATTAATCATTGAGCTTGGCCATAAAAATATAGTTTATAAACTAAATATTTAGTGTGGAGCTAAATATTTAGCTTGCAAGTTAAATATTTAGTTTGGAACTATGACATTTATAAATGTATGAATAACACACTGAAAATATGACTTTGAAAAAAAACATTTTTTTTCTTATGAAAGGCTAAATAAAACAAAATATTGTTGTTAATTTTTGACTGTAACTTTACAAACGGCACCCCATAGATATGAGATCAGAGGACTTCAAAGTAAAGTCACAGAGGGACACACATGGCACTTAAAATAAATTATCTACTGAATGGCACACTGATTCTGTGATGAGGAGAGAGTTCTGATCTTTTGAACGTTGGGTTCTGTGGATAAAGAGTAATTAATATCTTACCTGTTGTAGATAGCTCTTTAAATGCACTCTGTTTGGAGTAAAAGTGTAAAAATCTGACTGAACTGATGAGCTAAAACTGCAGTCCAAGTTGGGCAAAGGCCAAAGTAAATTTCTGCAGACTTGAAAATCTCCCATTTCAAAAATGTCATTGTGATTAACACGGATGTTATTTTACAAACCTTTACATTGCTGTCAGTCTCACATGAAATTATTATTTATGTTGAGCATTGTGATCATTTGCAAGTGCAAACGGTGAAAGCAGCTTGCTGTAGCTAGCTAATATTTCTGCCAGAATTCCAGTATAATGTGAAACAGGCAGTTTAAAGGTCATGTAATGTGTGACAGTGGGAGCTGTTCCAAAACGTTAATGACTCACTTTGATCCACCTTGGACTAGCCATTAGCTCATCAATCCAGTCAGTTTCACCGTACTCAAATCCTCCAAAATCTATCTAAAGCATGTAAGATATTAACTGTTCGTATTCGTTTCAAAAGATCGAACCATTCCTTCAAGCGTTGCAGGCCACATTGTGGCTTAGATCGCCATTGATTTCACCTCCTATGTTGTTTCCCACCTCAGCAGGAATGTCATAGATTGTGTCATTGAGCATGTCGTAGGTGGTGTCATTGGGCACACCCTCGGTGCTGTCGCTGGCTGTGTCGTTGGCACCGTCGTTTCTTGGCTTTTTGTGTGCGGATTCCTCCATCGCCGTCTTCCCCTTCTGCCTGTTTGGAGGTGAAGCAGATGTGCACATCAGGCAGAGGAGAGAAGAACAATCCCAAAGGCCCTGCGTCATGCTGGAGGAGAAGAGCTTCCGACACGGATGGCAGAACTGGTAGAAGATCAGCATGAAGAGGATGGCGATGGCGTAGGCTACCAGGAGCTGCAGCAGCAGCAGCGGGGCGAAGATGAACTCATAGAAGTCCGTTTTATAGATGTACCAGAGCAGAAGCAGCGAGGCGTTCTCCACAAAACGCAGCATGTAGTACACAGCCATGCGGTACCAGTTCTGGGACTTATTGATGAGGTCTGGGTCGTTCAGCTTCACCTGCACGGCCGACCAGCAGAACATGTTGATGCCCGCGTACAAGAAGGTGAGCAGGCACAGCACGATGGTGGTGCCCACCCGGGTGAGAGTTTTCTCTATGTTCTCTGGGAACGGGGAGTGGCTGTGCCAGAACAGGATCCAGGGGTAGAAGAAAAAGACGAGGAAGTTCAGGAAAACCACCGGCAGGACCCAGAACTGCAGCACGGAGCTGAACAAGACGAGAACCACCACACGAGTGGCGATCTCGAAGCTTCGCCACAGGAAAATGCACAGATAAGCCACGGGCTGGATGTCCACCTCATAGTCGTCGTATTTGAGCTTGATGGCGAGGATGTTGCAGCGCAGCGCTCCGTACACGATGGACAGGAGGGAGATCACCATCAGTGTGCCTGAAACACAGAAACACAAAGAAACAAGTATTTAAAGGGCAATTTTACATTTTCGAGACAATGTAAAGCAACATGAGGTGAGCCACACTCTGGTCACACAAGTTTAAATTATTTCCCTGTCCCAACACCAAACACTTGGTTGAATTACTTTCTCAGCAAATCATGAAGCTTTACAGAAGCCTGTTAATGTTAGACGCATGTAAGGTTTTATCTACACAAAAACCCTGTTTCTCAAAAAAAAAATCTCATTTTTAAGTATTTTTATAACAATGTCATTGTTGATAGAAATGCATTCTAAAAAAGAAAGAAAAATCCCTAAAACTCTGTTAAAATAAATAAATAAATAAACTGAGGTGCTGTAATGCTGCCACAAAAGTAAAAGTACACCAAAAACAGGAAACAAGGTGTGGAGCATGTTCATAAAGCTTGCACACTGGATGCCAAATAAAAACACAAGAAGAAGGAAAGGATGCCCGCGGGTTGTTAGTTAGGCTGGAGGTGGGGCTAACGTGTTTTTAAGGCCTTTTAACAAAATACAGTTGTCCCAGATCCGTACCCTGAAGTCCCACGATAAGTGAAAATCCACAAAGTAGAAATAGTAGTACAAGTAGTATGTAGTAGTTTTTTTTTAAAAGAGCACAGAATGTCATGATTTCAGTGCCCTGCCACCTGCCAGCGCTCTTGGCCACGCCCACTTCTCCGCAAAGCAAAGATACGACGCACTGCTGGAGGAAGTTTCTCCTGCAGTGTGGGCTGCACAGAGGTGCAGCAGGTGCTAAATAATTTAAAACAATTTATTTTAAATCAAAATTCCATGCCGATCGTGCGGCTCTTCCATCAATCTACCAATTGTGTGTCATGTCCAATCTTATTTTGAAAAACCGCGATAGAGCGAGTCTGCAGAAACCGAACCGCGAAGTAGCGAGGGACTACTGTACTGCATAGTGCTTCAAGATTTTTTCACTTCATAGCTTGTTCTCATAATAACATATTGTGGAGCTCCTAAACCTTTGTTTCCATGTGGTGTGAAACAGTAAAAACGTTCTTCTATAGAAGAACTCTGAATCATTCTGCACAGTGACCCCCACGGACCAGCTTTAAACAACTTTGGTCAAGGGTTCAATGAAAAAACAAACAGAATAAATATCTTACCTGTTGTAGATAGGTCTTTGAACGCCCTCGGTTTAGAAGCAGAGTCATGACCAAAGAGGACTGATGTTATCTTTAAATTATTACAATCACAAGAATGTGTTTTTTGTTAATTTAAACATGACGGTACTTGATAAATCTTTACGCTGTCATCAGATTTACATTACTTGGTTATTTATTTAACTCTATGGTGATTTACAAGTGAAAAAAGCAGCAACAACACTTTAGTACAGTCCGGGGGGCACTTCCTGCAGCAATGTAAACTGGATTATGTGCAAAATGTGAAACTAAAGGCAGAATGAGGGATTATGCTGTAAAAAGTGTTTGTGTAAACTCCCATTAATTATATATATTTTTACTGGAAGTTGTTTAAAGACAGCAGCAATCTTACGTTGTTCTTGGTTTTGTTAGTAGCCATTAGCTAATTAGTCTGGTCTGAATTAAACTGTTTCATGGTCTAAAATCTACCTACAACCTGTCTCCGAGACAGACGTGGGAGAACCTCCATGTTCCATCCACACCGTCAGAGCAGCAGTTACAAAACAGCGCATGGACTCATCATGCTCGTTTCCAGCATGCTACTGAACAGATCAGCCCACATTGTAGTGCACTTGTGAGTTTCTCATTCAAATCAGTCCCTCGCACACTTACAGCACAATCCCTCCCCTCACCTCTCCCAATGGACACCCCCTGCTGCAGGACACAGATGTAGAGCTGCAGGGTGAGCTGGGGGGCCGAGCCCAGGAAGGCCTGGATCACGGAGGTCCGAGAGAAGGCTGCTCGGTGAGTAAACAGTTTCCCCTCCGCCTGTCCCACCTGCCGCTCCACCTCTTCCGCCTGACCCCTGCGGGGCATCTGCTTCTTCCTGGTGATGCTGACATACGGCTCCTCCACACGGCCCACGCTGTCGTAGATACAGAACGCCTCCAGACACCTGAAACAGCAGGAGAGCCGAGACGTTCAGAGGCAGCAGCTTCTCATCTGTGAGCTTTTAATTCAAATAACGTTCAGCTTGGATTTAAAACAGCAAAGTTCACAATACTGAGCTCCACCACGAAGAGACAACGTCTTTAAACCAAACTACAACCAGAACAACGGTCAAAGAAAAGTCATAAAGGAGAAAACACATCAATTGTATTTTTCATTTTAGTTTAATGGATTAATTTTTGGCAGCACGGTGGCGCAACTGGTAGAGCTGCTGCCTCTCAGCGAGCAGGTCCTTGGTTCAAACCCCAGTCCAGGGGCCTTTCTGGGTGGAGTTTGCATGTTCTCTCCGTGCATGCGTGGGTTTTCTCCGGGTACTCCGGTTTCCTCCCACAGTCCAAAAACATGTATGTTAGGCTGATTGGTAACTCTAAATTGTCCCTAGGTGTGAGTGAGAGAGTGAATGGTTGTTTGTCTCGTTTGTCTCTATGTGTCCCTGTGATGGACTTGCGACCCGTCCAGGGTGTACCCCGCCCCTCGCACAGTGATTGCTGGACATGGGCACCAGCGACCCCCGTGACCCAAAATGGAATAAGCGGGTAAAGAAAATGGATGGATGGATGGATTAATTTTTGTCTTTATTTCTTTTGGTTAACAACCAATATCATTTTTGCTTAACATCTTTGGCCAAATGATTCGTCATGTGTCCTCTTTCCATCTATTTTATAAATATGTGTTCCTTCAATGAAGACATAAATCATGGTGGTGTCCCAATACCAGCCTCAAATACTTGTACTCATAAAAACACCCCGATACTTTGGACCAATGCCATTTTTATACTTGGTGATGTCATTTCCTCTTCTACTATGCAAGTAGTCGTGGACAAAAAATAAAAATTGTTCATAGTTTAGAGATATTTTAAGATCAACACAGATGATGTTAAGACAGCACATGGTTTTTATGTTTTCTTAATAAAAGAAAAGTGTTTCTAAAGTCATTGTGTAATATTTAGGTACTAACTCGCTAATTACTCAATGCAAGTACCCAAACTGAAGTACTGTCTGGAAAAAAAATTGTACCTGGACACCCCTAGCATTGTTTGGTTATTCATTCATTCATTAAAAAAATATATATATTAAACTGTTTTATCAATATTTGTGTCAAGTGAATCCCTTTTTTTTATTTTTTTACATAATTTATATTCTTTGTGTTGGTTTTTACTTTACATAAAAATCACTCTTTTTTCTTTGTTATTTAAATTAAAACAGTTTGGCCAAAGCTGACTGTCCAAATCTAAAAGCATTTTAAGTTTGCACATCTATATTTAACAGAAATTATTCAAACGGCAGTCAGTTTTTATCGTTTTTTTAAATCATAATAATATATGTTAACTTTAAATATCAGCGCATAAACTTTAGTGTTCAGTTGTTTGAGGAGTAATTTGTGGCGACAGCTGTAAAGTTTAATGAGACGGAGGTCATTTTACCGTCAGGATTAACCACTTTGTCTTTACAGACATCAAAAAATGGTTGGTGACAGAGAGAGTCGTTATTTTACCAATTTGACACTAAAACCCCTGAAGTGTAGCAGGAGGGCAGAGGTGGAGCAGCCAGTAAACAACACGGCAGCAGGATTCAGACGCTCAGAGACCAGCTGTTCCATCAGCTGCTCCATCAGCTGCTCCATCAGCTGCGATAACGAGGACTGATGTAAAGTGAACACATTACTGAATAATTCAGAATAAATGAGCTCTGAGGGGGTTTGGGATGTCCTGTACCATTAAACGTGTGGAGATAAAGCTGAGAGTGTGTTTAACCTTCAATTCTCGGTTCTTTATATCAGATGAGCAGCAGAACATAAAACCCAGATGGGCTCACAGGTGCAGTGAGCAGAACAACTCAGACTTTCAGACGAAGATGAAACCAGGAATGCTTATCGCCTGCCGCCTCACATGCTCCTGTTTTTCATGTGCAAGGACGCAGATCAAACTGAAGATCTAAATACCATCTGAACCAGACTGCTTAGATGGATGTTTTTGTCAAGACACTAATTACAAGTGACCTCCTGCACAATGTCACTGTTTCTTTGCTATAATTATTGATGCTTGGTTTCTATAATCAATACATGAAAGTGATCGTCTGAACTCGCCTGCAAGCCTTTTATTATACGAGTGCGTCGCCAACGCCACATTTTTTTATACAATAATAATAGTTTGTTCTTTTAATAGACAGTAAATTGAAAAAGACTGCTAGATATTGAAAGTTCCTATTTTTTTTTTTTTTTAATGAGCAAAATTATTTACTCACAGGACATTTAATGATCTTTTTTAGTTAAAAAGAGCAAAAATATCTAGGCGGACGTGTTGAGGCTTAGGTGATAAAGGGTTAATGCGTTCAGTTTTCTCATTAATTCACTCCAAGTGGAGCCGCAACTTTTTAAAAGCAGCATAAACAACAGAGTAGCAAACTCTGAACTGAAATAATTACCATATTTTTCAGACCATAAGGCACTCTTAAAATCCTTGAATTTTCTCAAAAATCAACAGTGAGCCTTAATTATTAATTCTGGTTGTGCTTACTGACCTTGAACTGATTTTATGTGGTGCACGACGCTCAAAAATCTGTCCAAATGAACTTATTTTGCTTAATGTGCCTTATAGTCCAAAAAATATGGTAGGTCTAAAATTGTACTACAGTTATTTTTGATAAATAGGCATATTTAAGTCCAGTTATGCATAAATCAACAAAACAAAAATTCAATGTTAAAGTAAAAGCATTAGACGAGCAGGGGTGCTAGTTGGAGGTGATTTATGAACAAAAATAAAAATGAAAACAAGCGGCTCAGCGTGTTCAGCGCAGTGACCAGCTGTGTCATTGCACAAAGAGATAAAGGTTGTTGTAAGTGTTGCTCCGGGCGGATAAGAAAAGGAAGTGCAGCCTCGCTGTCTGCAGCAGAGACGGACGGCCCCTTCTCTGCTTGTGCTGCCAAAGATAAGGACCCTGCAGGGACCAGGACTATTCTTAGAGCTGCTGTTCACCGAGGAGAGATGAAGAAGTCTGAAGAGCGTGCCGGAAGGTGAACAGGCCTTTCAGGTCAGAGTTACAAAGGCTGCTGTGAAAATCAACATGAGTGAAAAACCAAGATGTCACTGAGTCACAAACAGACCAGGATGAGTTCAACGTAACGCTCTTGTTCCATGTGCACATTAGAACAGGTTCATTTTCTAAATGTCCGAATTAACGGCCAGGCTTTAAATAATTTTTCTCATTCATTCATAAATCAGTTTTGTAAGATCCTCAAAAATAAACCAGAAAACTCAACTCTTAAAAGGAGCGAGGGCCTTTATGTGTGAACTTTGCATGTTCTCCCCATGCACGCTTGGGTTTTCTTCAGGCACTTTGGTGTCCTCCCACACACCAAAACAACACGTTACAAGAAGTGGTAACTAAATTGTCCCTATAGGTGTGAGTTAGAGTGTGAACAGTTGTTTGTATCATTTGTCTTGTAAACCTGTCCAGGTGTCTCCCGCCTCTCATAATGTGACTGATGGGGGTAGGCCCCAGCTCCCCAAGACCCTGAATAGGAACATGCAGGTGAAGATCATGGATGGGCGGATGGATGGATGGATGGACAGACAGACAGATGGATGGATGGATGGATGGATGGATGGATGGATGGATGGATGGATGGATAGACGGATGGATGGACAAACGAACGAATGGATGTACAAACGGATGGATGGACGGACGGACGGATGGATGGATGGGCAGACAGACAGGTGGACAGATGAATGGATGGATGGACGGATGGACGGACGAACAAACAGACAGATGGATGGATGGGTGGGTGGACGGATGGATGGATGGATGGATGGATGGATGGATGGATGGATGGATGGATGGATGGA